TCTCAATGCTGTTGTCACATATGAGAACAAAGTCCCATGTTTTCTTTCAATCTGTTTGTCCAAATCTAGAAGGAAAACTTCCAGTTTCAATTGCACATTTACTTTAAGAATTCTCTGAATTAAAATACTTACCTGATCTCAATATTTCTATTTAAAGCTATAAAGTACAGTACTTTGTTTATATCAGTGTTTTTTAAAGTGTGGTCCAAGGACTGCTGGGCATCCTCCAAGACCTTGTCAGGAGTGTGCGAAATCGAAATTACTTGCCAGATACTGAGGATATTGGCAAAAATTTAAAACAATATCACACTTCTCATTATTATTTTTATTTGTTTAAAAATGGGGGGATTATAATGGTTGACCTTACTATTTAACAGATTACTGAGAAAGAGAATCCCTAGGTTTATTTGACTAGATAAATTAATTGTTTCAAATGTAGTTGTTTGTATGATCTAATTAAAAGTGACTTTTTTATTGAGTATAACTTTAATGTAATAGAAATAATTGTACTAAATTAGGCCTCCACCTATGAGCCTCAACATACTATGCCCCCAAATCTCTACTATTTCAAAAGAACACTCTACTTCCAAAATAATTTTTGAATGATACATGATTGATAACTCGAACTTTCAGTTATAACGAACTTTCAGTTGAGAGTACTAAAAGCAAGCATGCTCAGTGAAGTCATCTTTCTATTTTTCACTGTAAAATAACATGTAGTTAAATTTCTAACTTTTTAGCTGACGTATGAAGAAAACTTTGTCTGAAACTGTAGAAAGAACAAAATCTAGCAACTATTTGAAAAGGCAATAAGATATTTGTTAGAATGATTAGATAATGAACATCTCTGTTAAAAATACCTCAACTACTGTAAAAAAAAATTGACTCTGGAGGTATTCAGTATGCAAGAAATTATTTCTTAGTTTTAAGAGTTTGCCTAAACTATTAATAATTGAGCAATGTATGTAATTGAGCTCTAAGTAACTTTACTTGTAAGCCGCCTAGAGTCACTTATACAGTGAGATGGGCAGTGTATAAATTTGATTAATAAATAAATGTACATGATTATGGAAATTGATTAAAGCATGTGAAATTATGCTACTTTTTATTTATTAAGAGAATTCCTTAAATTGTTCATACTTGTGGCTAACCTGACAGGTTTTTTATTGTACCTTTTTTATAACTAATATTTTTAGGGTCATTTTTCTTCAGTTAAACTCTTGCTCGATGAGCAGGTGGCAGTCATGGCTAGGAGGACCTTTGCACAACTTCATATTGTGCACCAGTTGCTCCTGTTCCTGGACCGAAGGGCCTTAACTCATGGTCATTCATGCCCTGGTTGCTTCCTGATTGGACTACTGCAATGTGCCCTACATGGGGCTACCCTTAAAAAGTATCTGGAAACTTCAGCTGGTGCAGAATGTGGCAGTGCGGGCAGTTATGTGTGTTTCTGGTAGAATATACATTACACCTCTGCTTTGCAAGCTGCATTGGTTACCAGTTTGTTTCTGCGTCCAATTCAAGGTGCTTAGAACTGTTCTTCATGGCATGGGACTGGGTTATTTCAGGGACCGCCTCTCCCTTATTTCTTCTGCCCATCCCACTAGATCTAGCAGAATGGGTAAGTTACAGATTCATTGTCTAGGGAGCTAGGTTTGGCGGGCCCTAGGCAGCAGGCCTTTCCTGCTGTGGCGCCCACATTGTGAAACCTTCTCCCCCCAGAGATGAGATCAGCCACATCACTCCTGAGTTTTTGAAGGCCCCTCAAGACCTGGTTATGTCAGGAGGCCTGGGGACCACAGGGGACAGGTGAACTAATGAAGTGGGTCTGTTATTAACATCCCTTCACCTATTATTTTCTTTTTCTGTTTTAGTTTGTTTTAATAGTTTTTAACATTCTTAATAACTATATTTATTGTTATATTGGGCTACTGTACACTGCCCAGAGTCTCTTTTTGTGAGATGGGCAGCCATATAAATTTGATTAATAAATAAATATGCTACGCAGCTGTAACATATTTTCATAATACAGGAAGCAATGGGTCCATGTAGCAGAAGTTTGTAAAAGGTTTGTATGATTATGCTTTCAAACAGGCAGTAGTTCTTGTAAAATGTTTACACTTTGCTGCAGTATGGGCCATGAGAACATTTGATAGACTGGCCTGATTTATATACCAGTGAAGACAATATGGCTTGTTAGGTTTTGGTTGAGTATGTTGTCCAAATTCTAGCCATTTCTAGTTTAGTTAATAAAACACAGCTAAGAAAAATAGAGCACAGTGTATGAGCCTGTTAATTAACCTGTAAATGTTATTTTTTTCAGAGCAGTAGTCATTTTTGTCTGGAGCAAAAAAAACAAACCTGAATATATAGTAAATGTATTAAATGTTAATATATTTACTATGGCAAGTTTAGAAGAAATGCAAGTTGCAAAACATGCAGAAGCAAACTTTTTTTGGGAAAAGGGAATGTGGATCCTACAGAAATTTAGTTACAACTATTGAACAAGACTGTAATACTTTCCACAATCAGTATTTTGCCACCATCTTGTTACTTAGTCTTCCTGAATTCTTGTTTTTACAACCAGCCATTTGTTTTGCTTGTTCCTCTATTTTTGTTAGCTACCTTGGTATTCTATAGATGGAAAAATCGAATATAAAATACATATGGTATACATATTGTAGATTAGCTTGAACGCCTCTATATGCATTATGTAATCTTTGTGCATTGGATTTTTATTAAGTGAGAAGTATTCTTTCTATAAGCCCCCACTTGGAGTCTGAAATGTATAATCCAGTCATGAGTTTCCAGTCCTCATCTGTTCTTTAGTAAAACTCAATCCCAGCAAGATGGAATGGCTCTGGGTTTGAAGGCCTGGTGATTCCAGTGAGTTACCATTTTTAGCTCCAAATAGAATTTCAGTTGCCCAAACAACTGCTTCACAAATTGGCAATCTTCTTTGGTTTCACGGCTCCTGCTCAAGCTGTGGCCAAGAGAAATTTGCACAGCTCCATATTGTGCACCAGTTGTCACCTTTTCCTGGAATCCTAGGCCATACTCACTGTCTGTCACTCATGCCCAAGACATCTCTCAGTTGGACCATTGCAGTGCATTTTATATGGGGCTGGTTTCGAGAAGCATTTGGAAGTTACAGGTAGTCCACAAATGCAGCAGCTCAAGCAGTTATGAGTACACCTTGAGGCACCCATGTAACACCTGTAATTCAAGAACTGCACTGGTTGCCAGTTGGCTTCTGGGTGCAATTCAAGGTGCTGGCTGTCACCTTTAAAGCCCTTCATGATTAAGACCTGGATATCTGCAGGACTGCCTTCTCTTGATGACATCTGTTGTCGGGTAAGATCTAGCAAGGTGGGCTCTTCATGTGTTTCCTTAATTAGAGATTGTCTCTTCCAGGGGCAAAGGAAATATGCCTTCTCAGTCACCTCCATCCCCACCTCTGGAATAGTATCCCCCCAGATATTCAAACAAACCATCTTCTAGTTTTCAGAAAGTGAGAAGCTGGCTATTCTAACCAGCCCTAGGGGCAGGCTTGTTATGGCTATCCTTGCAAACAAATTAGTTTCACTGCATTTCAAGTATCAATCCCCTATTTTTGAATGATTGGTTATTTTATGGTTTTAAATTTTGATTGTCTGTTTTCATCCCAAATTATGGTTTTGAGAAGTTGTACATTGCTCAGAGTCCATTGATTGAAGTGGATTGTAAATAAAAATAATTTAAAAAAATAACTAGACTGAAAATGTCACGGTCTAGTTCTTTAATGATCCTGCTAAAATAGGCTGCAGCAGAAGTTGCATCTAAGAAGCTTGCCTGAGGTTTATAAGTGCTTGTCCAAAAAAAGTTCTGCTTGCTTTGATAAGTGGTGGATAGGATAAACCTAAAAGAAGGGGGATGCAAAGTGAAAGAGGTTAAGAAATTCTCCAGCCCCAGCAGCCCCAAATCCTCAGTACTGTTATAACCCTGATGGTTGTAATCATTTCTTTCAAAATGCATGTTCCATGAACAAGGTGACAATTTCGAGATAACCGACTTTTTCTGCTGGGAACTGTTAACTTTAAAATATCCAATCTGCAGTTTTAAATACCTGTGTGTATAATAGACTTGCATTCCTCTCAGTTAATTCTATAGAATTTTTGATGTCACAGAGCCCTGTCTTCCAGAGGAGAGAACAAAGTGGCCGGGAAAGAAATGAAAATAGGATTTAGCGAGAGTACTGAGCGGCAACCCTCTCCCTGCCGCAGTACGTTTAAACAGAACCGGGCCGCGCACGGCCGCTGTCTCCCTCTTGCAAGGGGCTCGGGCCGGAGGAGATGCTCCCGGTTTTCCGAGGGCTGAGGCGTGGATTTTCTCCCGTGCCTTCCTCCAGGCGGCAGTGATGGAGCCATCCCTCCTTCGCTCCCTTCCCGGTGTGTGAGGGCGCGTGGGGGGGTCGGTGTCTCCGCGGCACCCGAGGAAAGAGGCCGCTTCGGCTTCGGGGGAGAGACGGGAGCGTCTTCGT